CAAGCCCTGCACCAGACCTGGGTGCCCTTCCTCCACGGGCAGGTTAAGCCCTGGCTCTCAGCCCTGAGGGAGGGGGTCCCAAATGCTGCGCCACTGGGACCCCTGGCAGCTCTCACAGTGCTCCCCGGGCTCCCTGCCCATCTGAGGAAGAGGCATCCGCGTGTAATGCTGGAGCACAGGGAAGCTGCGGGAAGCAGAAGGTTGCGCCAACTGGCAGCACCATTTCCCTTCCTGAGACACACACACACACACACACACGGCCTCGGAGAGCCCCGGAGACGGGCCGTGGCTGGGCTCCAGGGCTCCTGTCGGTGATGCTGAAACCCGAGAGGGAGATTTCTTCAAGGACGTCTTCGCCCTGCAATGGGCTGCCCACACGTGGCCGTCCTTTGCCAAAACCGAGCAGGAAGCCGGGTGCACCTAGCCCTGGGGGCCACCTGGCCACCTCGACCTGTCCTCCTGGGCCCCCCGCAGCTCTTCCGAGGGCCACTCATCGCCTGCACCTTCTCCACTCCCTCGCCCTTCATTCTACCTCTGCTCTTCCAATATTATATTCAGCCTTAGAGAAGGGCTGCTCCCTGTTCTGTTCTTTTTCCTCCACTCCAGCCCCTACAAGGGACTCTCCTTGTCCATTGTTCCGGCTCTTCAGAAGCACAAGGAGCTTTTCTGACGCTCCTTTTAACCTTAACGTGTTCCTGTCCGGTGAGGCTCCATTCAAAATCCAGTTCCAGATCTACCCAATCAAAGGCCGGGCTGTAAACGACCAAATTCAAAAGCAAAAAGGGGCTGTTTTTCTACCTCTGGCCCTCCTTTGCCCGGCCACTGGAGGGCAGCTACCTGATTCCAGGCGTTTCTCTCCCCACATCTTCTGCCCTCCCTGGTCCTTCTTGCTTTCACTGGCTATTTTTCGCTACTTTCACTAAGGGGCGTGCCTAAGTGCACCATCGTGCCTCCGGTCCCTGTCCCATTGTCCCCATTTATTTGTACCTGTTTCCTGTATTCTTACTCATGTTTATTCTTATACCTATCATCTTGTAAGCGATGGGCAAATCAAATCAAATCAATAAATAAAATAAAACTTGCCCCCCCCCCTTTATTTTTTCTCAGGGAAGGGTGTGGATGCCAGCTCCCAACTTAAGGAGAACTGAGATCGTAGATAACAGCCTCCTTTCATTTCTTAGGGGTGGGGGTGGGGAATAACTTGCCCTCTGCTTTCTCCCCCAGGCCTCCTAAAAGCTGCATGGGCCACGGGGTCAACTCCGCTCAGGGCCAGCTGGGCTGCTCTCTCCTCGCCTGGTGTGTCCAGAAGGACTTTCTGGGTGGTACTTACCCGGCTGAGATGGATGAGATGGGTTCTGAACAGCTCCTTTAATTCAGGCTCAGGCCCAAAGCTGGCCTTGTCCTCACCTGGTCACTCTGTGGGGCTTTCCAGGGCCCTTTGGTTTTGGCTGCCCCCAATCAGGGCATCCTTCTGGGGCAGCTCTTTAGGGCCCCCATGGTGGGATTAATTGGCTTCTTTGGGGGTGAGACCTCTTAGTATGGGACAATGTCTCAATCGGGCACCCCACAGCTTCTAGCTGCCCTTCAGGCAAGGAGGATATGGAGGCCCCTGGACCTTATCCACACCTGGATGGCTGCCAGCAGTGTTGGTCTTCTCTCTGAGTGCCAGACAGCTGCTGAAGAGTCCATAATGGATGGGATGATGATTGACAGGCTCATCCTGGACACAGGCAGCAACGTCCATTGGGAAGAAGTTCTTTGGACAGGCTGAATTGTGTCCAGCTTGGGACTTGCCCACGTGCTGTGGGAAACATTCTGCCCTCATGACAAGACCAGCTTCATGCCTGTTTTTTACCCCCTCAGGTGTAATTGGGGCATGGCACAAACCATTGGGTGGGGCTGCCTGGCACAAGTCCCTCGGTTTCTGTGGCCTGATGGGCTTGGGGGGGGGTGTCCAGAGGCACCTGGGAGCTGCAGGTGCATCGGGAATGCTTGCATTCTGGTCTGGGTAAATTACAGAGTCTGATACTTTCAAAGGAAAAACCCCACTGATTTTGGGGAAGGGAGGAGCCTTCGCCCTCTCTTTCGTTTCTTGAAAAGGAACTTTCTGACACCCCCCCACCCCCACGCTGGATTCCCAGGTCCCTGGGGCTGGGGCCCTGCTGATGAAAGAGGTGCTTTGAGTCCAAGGGTGGAGGGTCCAGGAGGGACACACTGCCTGGAAACCAGCAGCTCCCCTGCTGTGCCTTTCAGGGGAGTCCTGGCTTCTTTTGCAGGACAGAGCAGATAACCAGGCGGTCAGGGGAAGAACTGCAGAGAGCCTGGAGCCACCTCCTTGGTGGGGGAGGAGGAAGTGGGACTACTGACCGAGCCCCTTCGTCCCCTCCCCACGTAGGGGAAGATGAAGGAAGCGCCAGCCAGGGGGGCCTCGCCTGCCCACCTGCCCGGCCAATCTCTCTGCCCCACCCAGCAGCAGCAGGAGGCAGGCCTGTCCATTTTGACCCACGAGGTCTGGGGCCGCCCGACTCCACAGTCCGGAGGCTTCCAGTGACCGGCAGCAGCTCGGAAGGGACGAGTCCTTGCTGAGCCAAGGGCGGCACGCGGCTTGCCCGACCGAGAGCAGCAGTGACTGGCAGCTGCAGGCCCAGGAGAGCAGCCAGCCCAGGCGCTGACCCGCCCGCCGGGCGCCCGCCGCTCCCCGGCCGCTTCCGTGGGTCCAGCGCAGCACCCGGACGCCGCCCGCCAAGGCCCTCGGCTCTGCGGGAAGGGAGGAGGCAGCCCAGGGCTGGCGGGGACAGCAGCGGAGCGGAGCGGAGGGAGGCGCAGATGCCCGCGGGGAGCTGGGACAGGTGTGCCGTTTGCCCCTCTCGGGCACAAGTCGCGCGGGGGACGCCGGGCTTCGGCAGCTGCCGCCGCGGCACTTTGCACGCGCCCCGAAACACGCCGCCCACCTCGGCTTCCCGCGACGCCAGCAGCCCCGCCCCCCACTCAGGTTGCCTGCGCCGGGTTGGCGGAGCTGGCGGCGGCGGGGCAGCGGGGGCGGGGCTTTCCCCTTGCCAGCCTTTCAGGAGGCGGCCAGCCGGCCGGCCGGCGTCACCAGCCGAACTGCCGCCGCCGCCGCCGCCGCCCGCTGCGTCCTGCCTGGCCCCGCCCCGCCCCTCCCGCCGCCCCCGCCCCGCCTCGACCCCGCCCCAAACTTTCCCTGCTTGGGCAGCTGCCTCGGCGCGGAGCCTGGGCCGGCCGGCGGCGTGGCTGGCTGGCCGAGGACGCCCGGGCAGCGGGCGGGAGGCGGCGGGCGGGCGGCTGTGCCATGCGGGGCTCCCCTCGCGTAGCGGCGGCGGCGGCGGGGCGGGAGGGCGGCAGCGGCCCCTGCAGCCGGGGGGGCGGCGGCCGGGCTGACACGATGCGGCCGGGGCTGGGCGCGGGCAGGCGGCATGGCCCCCCCGCCTAAGGGCCCCCCCGCCCGCAAGCTGCTCTGCATGTGCAGCCTCTCGCTCTGCCTGACCTACGCCTGCTACAGCCTCATGGGCGGCCCCGGCACCGTCCGCTCCCCGCTGGCCGCCCAGGGCTCCCCCAGCCCCGCCGGCCAGCCCCGCCGCCCCGCGCAGCCCCCGACCTCCTCGCCGCCGCCGCCGCCGCCGCCGGGCGCCACAGCAGCAGCAGCAGCAGCAGCAGCAGAAGCGGGGCCGGCGGCGGCTCGGAGCAGCTCCGCCGCCGCCGCCGCCGCGCAGGCAGCCGCCATCAGCCCGCCCGCCGCCACCGTCCCCGGGCGACCGGCCGAAGGCAACGCCAGCAGCTCCGCGGACGAGCTGGCGGACGCCACGGCCACGCCGGCCTGTGGCGAGAAGCGGCTGCCGCAGGCGCTGATCATCGGGGTGAAGAAGGGGGGCACCCGCGCCCTGCTGGAGGCGCTCCGGGCGCACCCCGACGTCCGCGCCGTGGGCACCGAGCCGCACTTCTTCGACCGCAACTACGGCCACGGCCTCGACTGGTACAGGTGAGGCGGCGGCAGGGCGGGGCGGGGGGGATGTCTGGGCCGCTCGCACGGAGCTCCGCGGCCCCCGCGCCTTCCAGACGGGCTGGGGCTGCTCGGGCCGTGCAAGCGCTGCCGGTGCCTCCGCCTGTCCGCAGGTGTGCAAGTGGCCCGCCGGCCTGGACAGACGCCCGGCCCGGAAAGCGAAGCGGCCCCGCTCGGCTCGCTGCATGCCGGTCGGGCGCGCGGCGGTGGCGAGGCTGCCCGGCTCGGCCGCGTTCGCCCGCCCGCGAGCGCCGCGGAGCGCAGCGTCGAGCCCGGCAGCAGCCTCGCGCTCCCCCGGCCCTCGCCCAGGTACCCCGAGGCGGGCGGGGGGCGGCGGTTGCGGCGGGGCTGGGATCGGCTCCCTGGAAGGGAGCAGCCCCGGGTGGGGAGGAAGGAGGCGTTTGCTTGCCTGCCCCGAGGAGCCGCCTCGTGCCTGAAGGTGCCCCCGAAGGAGCTGCTGCTCGGGGAGGCAGGAGGCAAACGTCGAGGCTGTGGAGCAACCCTGGCCGCTTTGGGTGCCTTTGCCCACCGCTTGGCAATCTCTCCCCCCTTGCGGAGCGGCTGCCGCTTGGCTTCGCGACCTGCAGCCCTGAAGGGAAGGCGGGCCTCCTCCCAGATTCCTGGGGGATCCCAGGGCAGGCGGTCGGGGTCGGAGGTGCCGTCTCTGCGGGTGGCAGCTGCTGGAAAAGGCTGCCCGGGTCATTCGGTCGCCCCTGAGCTGCTTTGCCAAAGGAGCCGGTGGCGGCGCCCAGTTGCATAAGCGTCTCCTGTCCCTCCCGAAGTTTAAGGCTCTCTGGGGCCCTGAAAGCTGAGGAGGGAGGGGGAGGATTGTCCGCATCCTTAGGAAGGCTCTGGGGGGTGGGTGGGGGGATTCGGCTAAGGGGCCCAGAGGGGCTACGTGGGCGGCCACTGGTGCTGAACTTGGCAGGCTGGGTGGCCCCTCAGCTGCTTGCTCATTTTCTGGGCCTACCTTTCAGCCCTGGGGAGGGGGGTGGTGGCACCAGGGGAGAAGGTAGAGATGCCCTGAAAACAAGGGCTTCCCTGGGGCCTGGGGGGTGACAAGAGGCAGGACGAATGTCCTCACCTGCATCCTTACACACTTGGTTCAGCTACCTTTGCTGTGCTTGTGCGGGTTTGTGTGTCTGATTTGCTGCCTGGAGTCTGAAAGGAACCGTCTTCCTTTGCCCTTTGGGGCGGGAGAGGCCCCCCTTCTCTCTTCTGGTGTGCGGTTTGCATCTAGCCGCATCCAGCGTGGGCCGGGGGGGGGGGGGGGGAAGCTTCAAGCCAGGAGCTGCCTTGCCTGCCAGGTGCAGAGACTGGAGGGGCCACTTCTGTTTCCAGACTCTTTGCTCTGTAAGGGAGCTGCAACCAGTGGGTGCTGCACACAGGGCTGCTGGGCACCCCGGTGGCAGCTCTTTCTGCTTCTGGTGGGGTTTGTGTCGCTCGTGTGGCGTCGCCTGCCTGCTTTGGCTTCCCTGAAGTGGGGCTCAGTGTCTTTGGTGCCCCTTTGGCAAGTCCCTCGTTGCCCCGGGATGGGGGTTCTCCTCTGGTTGTGGTGTTGCTGCCTGGAGTGCTTAGTCTTAGCCCAGCCCTGTGATTCGGGGCTGGGACTTTCTGGGGGAGCATTGAGCACCCCAAAGTTCTTCCTGTATGCAGGTCACCTCTCTCCTGGCTTCTGTGAAGTGGGTCAGGAAGGTCCGGGGCATTTTGCATTGTGCGAAGGCTCCAACATGACAGAGATTATCCAGGATCCTCCCCTGCAGCTCCCCCTCCCCTGCTTTGGCCAGTGCCAGCAAGACAGGCGGCCAAGGGGCCTCTTGGCTCGGGTGTTGCTGGCCCTTTGGCTCCAGCTGAATTGTAGAGCTCTGTGGATTCAGAACTCGGGCATTCGGGGTGGGTGGGTGTTTCAGATTGGTTCCACTCTGACGTTTGCTCTGAGCGGTGTGCCTGTGCGTGGGTGTGCATGCCCAGTTAATGGCTCCCACAGCAAGAGGTGGCACGGCTCATTCTGGCTTCACCTCAGCCCTCCGCGGCCTCTTAACGTTGTGTTCCTCAGAAGACGTGGGCACATCCGCCGCGGTGGGGCTGGGGTAGCGCAAATTCCTGGAAGATTCCCGCAGCTTTGCTATACAGGCTCTGCTCCTCAGCCAAGAGAGGGTCCGGCTGGGCTTTGGAGCCCAGCGTGATGTCCGTGGGTTTTGTTCTGCCCCTCGAGGTGGGGGCAGGCAGGATCGCGGTCAAAGGCTGGGGGAAAGCCGGCAGGGAGAATGTTGGGGAGCGTCCTGACCGGGGAAAACTTTCCGTGCTGAAAAGGAAAGGCTGGCGGTGGGAGCAACCTGTTTGGGGAGGGGGCAGGTGGGGCTGCTGACTGAAGAGGGGGGGGGAGTTGACGGAGAATGCCTGGCCTGGTTGCTTCCCCCTCAATACACACACACACACACAGCCTCCAGAACCCAGCCATCTAATCACTCTTATCCTGGAATGCTTGCAAATGCAGTGGTGGGTTTGTGACTGTCTTGGCTGTGCATGTCACATTAGCACATCCTTCATGGAAAACTGGGGGCCAGAAGGTGGGGAGGGAGCCCAGAAGAGATCCCTCTCACTCTCGGGTCCTCCAGACAAAAAACTGATTGGTGGAAAGACCTTCCCCCACCCATTTGCTCTGCACTGAGTTAAATTCTGGTGCCTGCATCTGCCAGAGCTTTCAGCAATAGACCACAGATGGGTGCAGCCTAAGAGTCTGGCCTCCTGGCTCCCTGTGGCCTCCCTCGGCCGTGGGGCTGCCTCCTCTGGCCCAGAGCAGCTTGGCAGAATCGACTTGGTGGATTGCCACTTTTGGGGGGGAACTGGGGGGGTTCTGGTGATTCCATGGGGCTTGAAGAGCTCTGGTCACTCCTGTCTTTCAAATCGAGCCCTGCCACGCCCAGCCTGCTTTCTGGAAGTCCTGAGCTTTTACCGCTGGGCTCTGCCGAAGCGATGCTGGTGGCAGTTGCTGTCACTCTTCTTGGAACCCCTGACATTGGCAGTAAAGCAGCGCATGGCGGAGGAGGGGGGGGTAAGGGAGGGTCAGCCTCTGGTGCTGCACTTCAGCTCCTCCGCATTAAGAGAGCTAGGTGTCTCCCAACTGGCCGGTTGAGTTTTGGAGAGGAAGCGGCAGGATTTGGTGGCAGGCGGCTACCTCTGGGGCAGACCAGGGGGCCAGGCTGACAAAAGCAGTGTTGCACTGTGAGCTCTGCCCCCTTTTCTTGCAAGGGTCACGGTGTCACCCAGATGGCCTCAACCAAAGATCCTGGGGACGTCGCTGGCAACCTCTTACTTCCTACTTCACCAAGGGGATTCTCTGATTCTCCAGGTGAGGCTCCAGCAGCCGCCGCCACCAAAATTGGCAGGATTTTGAATGTGTCAGAAAGGCATAGAAAGTCCAAAAGAAGTCGTCTCCTCACAGGAGCGAAGAGCAGCACCGAGAGCGTTTGAGCCAGGTCTGCAGGAAAGCAAAAGGCAGGCTGCTCCTGCCTGGCTCAGCTCCCCTCCCTAGAGAGGGGTGGGGGGGAGGGCAGGGAGTCCTGTTCTCTGGTGTTGGTACTGGACAAAATCTGGGGATAAATTATTAAGCCGTCAGCGTTTGGAGAAGAATGCTGTTGCTTAGCAGATGTCAGCATGGATTTATCAAGAGCAAATCGTGAGAAATTATATTTGCTAGTGAGACTTCAGTTGACCACAGGAGAATTGTGGACATGGTGACTGAAGAACTTTTCTGTGAGTTTTTGATAGAGAAACTGGCAAAATGTTGCTGGATCATCCTATGATTAGCCGGACCCAGAACTGTCTGGAGAATGAGGGCTGTTGTATGGCTCTGCAAGGGTCTGTTTAGGCCCTGGGCTCTTCTCCATGTTTACAAATGGCCTTGAGGAGGCATTACAAAATATTTGCGGAGAACACAAAGATGGGAGATTTCCAGTAGAAGAAAAACATGCAGCCCAGAGTTGAACTGGGGGGATAGAAAAGAAAATATCTGAGGACGGAACCGGAGCTCAGGAAGATCTTGACAAGCTGGAACAAGGAGCCAAAGCAGGCACGGGGGGGGGGGGGGGGGGGGG